TGAGACAATATTGGGAGAGGGGATGTGAAGGGAGGACAGACAATATTGGGAGAGGGGATGTGGAGGGAGGACAGACAATATTGGGAGAGGGGATGTGGGGGGAGGACTGAGACAATATTGGGAGAGGGGATGTTGGGGGAGGACTGAGACAATATTGGGAGAGGGGATGTGGAGGGAGGACAGACAATATTGGGAGAGGGGATGTGGGGGAAGGACTGAGACAATATTGGGAGAGGGGATGTGGGGAGGGGGGGGGGGACTGAGACAATGTTGGGAGAGGGGATGTGGGGGGGGGAGGACTGAGACAATATTGGGAGAGGGGATGTGGGAGGAGGCTTGAGACAATATTGGGAAAGGGGGTGTGGGGGAAGGACTGAGACAATATTGGGAGAGGGTGTGTGGGGGGAGGACTGAGACAATATTGGGAGAGGGGATGTGGGGGGAGGACTGAGACAATATTGGTAGAAGGGATGTGGGGCGAGGACTCAGACAATATTTAGAGAGAGGGTGTGGGATGAAGGACTGAGACAATATTGAGAGAGGGGCCTCTCAGTCATCACCCCCATCTCCCCACAATCCCGTCTCCGTCTTACACATTTTCTAGGTAAACGGAGCCTCAAGGTACAAATTTCTAGTTTAAGAACCCACAATCCAGGATGGGTCTAGAAGGAATGTGCCATGGAGATATGCATCGGTATTAAACTGACTGACGTTTAACCACACCAGGACATCACACTGAAAAATAAACACTCGTTGACACAAAGTGCCACCAGTCGGATCAGAAACACCAGGGGACAGGTCCCATAAAATAAACCCCGTTCAACCCGTAGGGATCATTTTAGAGCCCCTAACAAGAATCGGACTTAGGCTTCACGATGACGAAAAATTGCGTCCCATATTGGAAATTGCCATTTGTGTCAGTATTCAGTCTGTGCTGCAAATGTGTATTTCCTAACATGATGAACAGATTCTCGAGAAAACAACATGGCGATAACCCAGTTTTCAAAAGTCCTCCAGGTGTCACGAAGGGCACTTGAAAAGTAAGCCCTAGTATGTGCAAACACTGTTTATTCTATGAAAGCGATTCACGAGGTGAGTGTGATGGAGGGCGTCCTGCTTAACATGCTGGATAACAATGTCGTTTAATTGTTGACCCTTGCCTAGCAAGACTGCTTTTGGTACCATTTGACCCTTGCCTAGCAAGACTGCTTTTGGTACCATTTGACCCTTGCCTAGCAAGACTGTTTTTGGTACCATTTGACCCTTGCCTAGCAAGACTGCTTTTGGTACCATTTGACCCTTGCCTAGCAAGACTGCTCTTGGTACCATTTGACCCTTGCCTAGCAAGACTGTTTTTGGTATTATTTGACCCTTGCCTAGCAAGACTGCTTTTGGTACCATTTGACCCTGGTCTAGAAAGACTGTTTTTGGTACCATTTGACCCTTGCCTAGCAACATAATTGCTCTGTTCTATAAAAACTTTTCCTGCAGTATAAAAAATTACAATACATCTTTCCCAGTAAAGACAGGTGTAAGACAGGAATGTGTTATGTCATCTCTCCTCTTCAACCTTGTTATTGATTGGATACTAAAGAACACAGTAGACAAGACATCGAGAGGCATTCGATGGACTCCATTCACCATGCTTGAGGACCTTGATTTTGTAGATGATATAGTATTCCTGTCACATAAACATGAACATATACAAGAAAAAAGTAACAGACTACACAGCACAGAAGAAATGGTTGGATTGAGAATAAATACAAGGAAAACTAAGATCATGACAAGCAGTCCAGACCAACAACCAGTGACCATAAATAACCAAACTCTTGATAATGTAGAACATTTCACATATCTTGGTAGTATGGTGTCCCTACTGGAAGGGACAGAGGAAGACATACAGTCACGCCTGAACAAAGCTAGAGCTGCTTTTGGAAGGATGAGACAAATCTGGAAATCCAACAGTTACTGCAGAGGAACGAAACTTCGACTCTACAAGAGCATTATTTTACCAGTTCTTCTTTATGATGCAGAATGATGGGAGTATACGTAGTCCGCATCTCCGATGTTTGTTTGATGTTATTGCCCCGCATCGGAACATCCCAACATCACTGTTTGTGTCCTATTGTTTGTAAATCATGACCACACGGGGTCGTACCAATTGAAAGAGCCCCGTGAACACTATTGATCGACCCCGGGCACTCGCTAACAAGCCATATATGAGACAGTAGGAGCAGGGCTGACGCAAGTTTTGGGGGATTGGTACCAAATATTTTGTGTGTGTGGAAAATATACTAACACACATACAAAGTCACCACATTTTTTAATTGAAACAATTCAAATAACTCCGTTGAAACGACTTTAAACACACACCCACCCACCCACCCACGCACGCACGCACACACACACACACGCGCACACACACACCCACCCACGCACGCACGCACACACACACACACACGCACACATACACATTAAATATATAATATATATATATATATAAGAAGTGTATGTACACACAGGCGCGCGCACACATACACACTCCGGGAGAGAGATAGATAGATAGATAGATAGAGAGAGAGAGAGAGAGAGAGAGAGAGAGAGAGAGAGAGAGAGAGAGAGAGAGAGGTGGGGGATACAGAAAGTAATGTCCATCATCTTTTTTTCTTGGCAACTAACAAAGATAACTATCACATTTTGCAAGCTTCTCATCTGAAATGTCAATATGCACCAAATAACAACTGATTCTTTAAATTAAAAAAAAACACACACACACACACACACACACACACACAAAATAGCTGCAATAATTCACTAAATAGAGGGCGAGGATAGTGTATGTAACAAACTACTAACTGCTGTAGAATTTGGTAGAATTTATGATTGTGCGTACAGAAATTGTGGTAAACATTTGCGAGCTGTGCATGGAAGATGTGCAATCGAAAGGAGCACCGTTAGTCGTTGAGTTCAGAGAGTTAAGGCTTCAGCAGGTGAAGAGACAGATCTGCAGGTGTTATACATGCTATGAAGACATGTCTGTGTGAACGGGAAAAACTTAATGATTACAAGCCGAATATCATATCACACTGTTTCGCATTGGCCTTAGGTCAGAGAAGTTGATAAATATTGAGTAAAGTTAGGGTGTGTAAACGGCATAACGAAAAAAGGGCATAATGTTTCAAGAGAATAACAATGTCAGTGAAGCTCATATATTTTGCACAGGGTGTTGCGTGGTCTCGTGGCGTGGTGTAACCCTTGTGTGCTAGAGGTTCCAGGTTCAATCCCTGGTAAGGGCTGGGAATTTTCCATGTGGCCTTGGATTTCTAGTAATTCCCCCTGGTCTCTGTGTAGTGAGATAGGACGCCCGTGTGCATTGTTGCGCAAAAAAAAAAAATTAATCACCTGGCAGCTGGAAATAAAAGAGTAGCATAACGGCGCTACCCGGGCAAAATTTTAAGTGTAAATTCTTACTTACTTACTTAGTCGCTCCTCTTCTACCTTGGGGTGTAGAGGTTTGCCAGAGAGATCGCCAGACGTCTCTATCAGCAGTTTTCTTTCTGGCTTTGTTCCATTCCAGTCCTCTGTCAGTCAGGGACTGTCGGATGTTGTCTTCCCAGCGCACCCTGGGTCGTCCCGGAGGTCTGGTTCCCTGGTTCTTAGCCTCCCATGCTTGCCATGGTGGCCGATTTTCTCCCATTCTGCACACATGTCCAAACCATCGTAACTGTGACTGATCCACTCGGGTTAGTAAGGGCTGGGTATCAAGATCTTGACGTATTGTCTGATTGCGGACTTTGTCCCTTCTTGTCACTTGGACCACCTTTCTCAGGTATCTCATTTCCGAGGCCTGCAGCTGGCTTCTGCTTGGGACCGGTCTTAGCGGAGTTAAGTGTAAATTCTACACAAAGTATTTCAAGATCCTCGCCGGTGCTACAGAGCCTGTGCACTGTGCTAAGCATCTTCGGACTCACACTTGAGTTAGTAGTAGAACGGAGCATTTATGGGTTACTCCCCGTGTGCTATGATGTTGATATATTGTTCAAAACTTCAAAACCAAAACAAACAAAAAAATACATTTTGCACACACAGTTTGCGAGAAAACACATTTGAGGCACTACTTCTGAATATCTCTTGTGTGTGCGCGTGTGTGTGCGCGCGCGCGCGCTCGCGCGTGTGTGCGTATCATCATCATGTAGCAAGTCCTTTACACAATGTGGTCCTCATCACGGTCTGCCTGAACGAAACTCCAGCTGTACCGCCTCGAGCACGTTCATGTTCAATTCATCTTAATACGTTCAAATATATGTATACAGACACAAAAACACGCACATACATATATATACACACACACACATATGAGAGGAGGAAGACATATATATATATATATATATATATATATATATATATATATATATATATATATATATATATATAGAGAGAGAGAGAGAGAGAGAGAGAGAGATTGAGGCATGTAGGCGAAGGTTATACATTCATCAAGAGATAAACAAACATAAGAGAATAACAAACATGTAAGAGGTCAATATACAACTCCCACAAACATTCTAGAGATGAAGAAGATTTACAGTACATAATTATATGTAAACAACAGATAAGGACACATAAGAGAACAGACGAAGTATATACGCAATTCTTCTTCTGCTCTTCCTCCTTCTCTTCTTCTTCTTTTTCTTTTCCTTTTTCTTCTTCTTCTTCTTCTTTTTCTTCTTCTTCTTCTTCTTCTTCTTCTTCTTCTTCTTCTTCTTCTTCTTCTTCTTCTTCTTCTTCTTCTTCTTCTTCTTCTTCTTCTTCTTTTCTTTCTTCTGCTTCGCGTTCACCAGCTGTAAACCACTGCTTGTTGGCTACTTCTGGACTCTGGTCTCGTTCAAGACTTCATGTATGCATGCACATCCGTTTTACAAAGCGGTATTATCTGTGTGCAGATTATAGAGCACAAAGAAGATCAGCACACACATACAAGAGAGCAACAAACATTTACAAACCTTTCTCAGGACCGAACCCAGACCAATCCACGAGCATGATACTATCCTCCGCCTTCTGCCGCCATTCGCTGTCAGGAACCAGTGAGTAGAAAAACCCAGCTGCAGCAAACGAGGCGAGGCTGAGAGTCAACACTCGGAGCTTGCTTATTTGTTTGGTCCACATCTGAAACACACGAGGTTGATCTTGGTGAGGTCCTGACATGAATCACTGAAGAATTTGAGGTTTTGAACAACGGATCAACATCATGGCACACGGGTGTAACCCACAAGTGCTCCGTTCTTCTTCTAACTCAAGTCTACGTCCGCTGAAGCTCAGCACAGTGCACAGGCTCTGTAGCACCGGTGAGGATCCTGAAATACTTTGGGAAGATTTTCAACTCCAGGGGGAATTACTAGAAGTACAAGTCCACGTGAAAAAACATTCCCAGCCCTTAACGGGGATTAAACCCGGAACCTCCAGCGCTTGAAGCGGAAACCTTGCCTCGAGACCTCGCAGTCCCTTGATAAAATGGTAGAAAATTATAGGAAATGAAAGAGAAAGGGTAAGCAACAAAAACAGAAAGTTTTTTTCAGCTTTACAAAATCAGTTACAATGAAACGAACAAATGACGTTGCGGCGATTAGCGTTCATCAGCAAACAAAGACAACACAGCACACACATGCACAGATATACACTAACTAAGAAATGCTCAGAGGTTTAAGGGAAGACTTCTCGGGAGATTGTTGGTGTTCACGTGGGAAGATATAATCAGCAATTCTAGATCATTACAACAAATGACAGACTTAGAGGATGTAAGTTTGAAGAAAAAAAAAAGGAAGATGGAGGTGAGTTGGGCACGTCCTTAGAATTAAGAGACGGCAGCCATGCTCCTACAGTGTCAGATTGCTTAGCTTGTTAGCGAGTGCCCGGGATAATATATTGATAGTGTACCCGAGGCTCTTTCGGGCTCTACATCCCTCGACGCCACTTCCCTAATGGACCGAAAACGATCAACCAACTGACGCCAAATTATCTTATCTTTTGCTACCGCATGTACTTCTCCCGAATCGCCCACAACTCATTCGCTTCATCTTCTTGTTTGCTTCTCAGTTTTTGGGTATTCGTTTATTCCTTTCACTTTTTGTGGACATAATAAACATTGTTTCCTTGGAAGTCGTAGTAAATCTGCATGAAACGCTAGGAACCAATAGTCTGCATTCAAATAAGTCAGATCTGTAAAACGGATGCACAAGCGAAACTCAAAGTCTGGAACAAGACTAAAGTTAAGAAATGAAGTGAACAACCAAAAGTTGCAACTGGCTTTATAACCGGTGCAAGTGAAGAAGAAGAAGAAGAAGAAGAAGAAGAAGAAGAAGAAGAAGAAGAAGAAGAAGAAGAAGAAGAAGAAGAAGAAGAAGAAGAAGAAGAAGAAGAAGAAGAAGAAGAAGAAGAAGAAGAAAAAAAGAAGAAGAAGAAGAAGAAGAAGAAGAAGAAGAAGAAGAAGAAGAAGAAGAAGAAGAAGAAGAGAAAGAAGAAGAAGACCAAGAATAAGAAGAAGAAGAAGAAGAAGAAGAAGAAGAAGAAGAAGAAGAAGAAGAAGAAGAAGAAGAAGGTTGTAGACACATGACTGAACATGTCACACAGTTTTGTGTGTCACGTGTTACACAAAGAGAGAAAGATCGGCGTAGCAGGGGGCGTTTTCGGATAACTAATAACTGATAACGGTCCATTCTTGTCATTGTCGTTCTTACATTACACAAGAGTTACTTGTCTGGAGTATTAATATCGCATCAAAGATAAGGTTCGAAATCAGAAAACCTCTTTGTGGTAAAGTAGTTTTGTCCAACTTCTTTTTATCAGTGTCAGACTTGAATTTTTGTTAGCACTGAGCAGCAAGAAGTTGTGTATAATCCACACTGTAATTCAGAGCTAATGCCAGAGCTAATGAAGACAACAAATTTGACTTGCCAGAGCTAATGAAGACAACAAATTTGACTTGCCAGAGCTAATGAAGACAACAAATTTGACTTTCCATAGCTAATTAAGACAACAAATTTGACTTGCCAGAGCTAATGAAGACAACAAATTTGACTTGCCAGAGCTAATGAAGACAACAAATTTGACTTGCCAGAGCTAATGTAGACAACAAATTTGACTTGCCAGAATTAATGAAGACAACAAATTTGACTTGCCAGAGCTAATGAAGACAGCAAATTTGACTTTCCAGAGCTAATGAAGACAACAAATTTGACTTTCCAGAATTAATGAAGACAACAAATTTGACTTGCCAGAATTAATGAAGACAACAAATTTGACTTGCCTGAACTAATGAAGACAACAAATTTGACTTGCCTGAATTAATGAAGACAACAAATTTGACTTGCCAGAACTAATAAAGACAACAAATTTGATTTGCTAGAAACGTTAACTCTCTCAGCGCCTATAAACGGACCTTAAAATAATAATTTCAGTTTGTGTTTCATCGTTGATAGAGATCGTATTTGAGTAACCATAGCTTGTGATTGAATGGGTTAACTAGGTTAGTTGTGTATCCTTTACAGGGCGTTGCAGAACCAACCTCAACAGCCCCTGGCTGTTGTGTGGTTTTTCTAGGCAAATTGACGTCCAGTAGTTTGCCATTGCTTTCTGGACGGTTGGCTTTCTTGATACCACTGTCGAAACCAACACAAGGCGCATGGCCTGCAGCTGGGATCGAACCCGGCATCCCGGCATTACGAAGCGTTCGCATCGACTTAGCCACAGAGCCGACGGGTTAACTAGACCGGAAGAAAAAAAAAACAACAACTCACGGATAAGTTAATGCTGATCTTTGCTTTCAGGAGCAATGACATTCTCTCTGTGAGTGGGTTAGGGTTAGGCACTTGACCTCTTAAAGTTGATAGAACATTCGTGTTTTAAGTTGCTGGTAACTGTGTTATTTTAGTGTTTAACCAGGTCTGTTTCATTGGCGGTCCGCGGACCAAATCTGGCTCGTGAAGACCTAGCAAGTGGCCCGCGGATTATTGTCAGTTGTATTGTATTAATGATCTTTCTATGCTGGGATTGGAGTCTCTGGTCCGTGTCAGTCAACATTTTCTATATTGTGGTCCTTGAATCAAATTAGATGAAAAGCCCTGGTATAAACAATGAGATAAGAGAGAATCTACACACACACGCACACACGCATATATTCACACTCATACACACAGGCACATACACATACATACACATACACACAATACACACACGCACACACATATACACACACACACGCACATACACACACATATACACACGCACATACACACATACAGACACACACGCACACACGCACGCACATACAAACACGTACATACACGCACACACGCATATACACACACTCATACGCACACGCACATACACACACATACACAGACACAATACACACACACATACACACACGCACACACATACACACACGCACGCACATACACACACGCACATACACACATACACATACGTACATACACGCATACACACAACACATACACACGCACATACATACACATATCTACACACACATACACACACATACACACGCACATACACACACATACACACGCACACACACACATACACACGCATATACACATATACATACGCACATACACACATATACACACACGCACGCACATACACACACATACTGGCACACGCACATACAGACATACACACATATGCACACACATACACACGCACATAGACATTTACACACATACACACACATACACATACGCATACACACACATACATACACACACATACACACGCACACACACACATACACACGCACACACACGCACATACACACACAAACGTTATCTTCTTACTGTCCAGACATGAATTCATCATCATCGTGGTCAATTTTCACTTCTGTGGTTAAGCGTTGTGGGGAGGAACCGTTTGCGATCCATCCCTTGATGGGCAGCAATGGCTATTGCCATTCGGTGTCGACGTAGAAGCTCTTTAATGTCATCAGTCTATCTTCTCCCAGTTCGGCCTCTTGATCTCACTTCAGATCTTTTTATGTGTAGCGCCTGTGTTGTTAGTTGATCTGGCGGCATTCACACTAAATGACTGAACCATTTGATCTTCTGTTTCTCGGCTTTTTAAATAATTAATTATCATAGGTATGCGTTTTCTCAAGGCATGATTCTGTGTCTACGCCTTCTCTGGCTGCAAACTCCGGCGGATCTACACAACTTGTCATGCTGGCGTAAAGGGTAATGAGCGATCGGATGCACTGGCAAGCAATGCACACTGGCAAGCAATGCACACTGGCAAACAATGCACCAACACATTTTGGAAGAAGCATAAACAGAGCAGATATCTAACGCTGTAGGAACTGGGCTAGCGTATAATGACGAATTTCTGATAGTAACACGATTGCGTGACATGGGAGTAAAGCATGGTGAAGCACGTCTATGCCGCCTTCGAGACCAAGATAGGAGACATTATAACACTTCTTAAGGAGAAATGAATAGAAGTACTTTGTAGTGGCTGCTACATTTGAGGACTGAGCATGCATGCGCAGTAATGTCAATTGTGATAACTTAACAGATCATCCGGCGGAAAGTTTTGGTTGTTCGTCCACCTCCAGACTTTAGTCACAATAATTAATAAATATTAAAATCTCAGATGACTTGCATTCTTTCTGCCCCCTCGTAATCCTCCCTTGTGTTCAAGTTGATGATTGTCCTAATGCTGGAAGTTTTATCAGAAGAACCTAGAAGAAAATGTCTTTATTTTTCAGAAAAGTTCCCACAACTTTCTTGAACGTACACTAGTACCAACAGGAAAGACTTCATTTGAGCTACTTAGTCAATTTACTGGTAAATACATTGTTTATAAGCGGCGTCCGTGGCTAAGGCGTTGCGAGTCCGACTGCGTGGATTTGTGTCGTGGTATGGGACGTCGATGGGCTGTCCTGGGAAAGGAAAGACAGCCGGCGTAATGCTGACCACATTACCCACCGAGTGCTGATGGTCTGTAAAAATATGGGACGCTCTGCCCATATGCCCGATGCGCCAAAAGGCGTGAGAAGGGATCTTTACTTTACTTTACTTACATTGTTTATTATGAGGGCGGGTTGGATCCACGGGCATAGATGTACCAGGCAAGCATAACAATAATTACCCAGCTTTGAGACGGATTTTGTTGTGGTTTTTCTAGGCAAATTTACG